GGGCCACCTGTTGCACACTTCTGGTTTAGCCCATGAAAAAACAGAATTTGCAGAAAACAAATAAACTCAGTGTCATGTAAAACAGGTTACTCTCTACAGAGCATTATCAGTGTAAAATTATTGTGGCATATTTTAGTATTACATCATTTACAAGTGCTTAACCTTCCACTTTTCAGTAACTGCCTTTTAAAAGCTGTTTTCAGAACAAAGCTGCAAATTAAGGCAGTGTGGCACATCGTGCTAATCATTAGGAATACGTTATCCGCAGCGCTTCTGTTTACCGTTTGCATTGGTTCGCAGGTTCGAATCCCATGTTGGGATGGTTATGTGCGAGAGGATTGCTAGACTCCTTGCCACTGTAGGGTAATTCACGTAACCTTGTAAAAGGTGATACGGCGGTGTGGCTCATCGTGTTAAGCGTTGGAAATAAGCTCGCCACCGCGCCTCTGTTTACTCTTCGTGGTTTCGCAGGTTAGAATTTCATTGAGAATATTAATTTGCAAAAGGATAGGGTGGATTGCCACCCTAGTGTGTTTTACGTGACCGCTGGACAGTTATGGGCTTCCTCCACCACTGTCCATGCATCTGAAACAAATCAAACCTTCTATTTTCTAGTGAACGTTATCGTTTTTTTATTTGGTATTGAAGTTTTTTTAAAAGTAATTGCATATGTTGGAATCATCACTGCTTAAAAAACTTGACAGCATTTATTTTGCTCAAGTGAAGCCTCACCTCAATTTCAAAAACTCATTAATAAGGCAAAGGTGTGCAGTTTTCTCATTTGAAGTCCGGTAATTTCTGAGAAAGGAAATGTTATATAAAAAGGATTGTTTTACATTAGTCATTTATTTTTGTGGTCATGAAAGTACTACAGAAATGATCAATAGATATTTGATTCGATTTCTAATAATTGAATAATTTACCAGCAATTACTGGATATGCATTTCATACCACATATTGCATAAAAGTAGGAAATTTTAAATGATCTATACACAATAAAATTAAGATCAGAAAGGAAATGCATAATTGTAGTAGTGTGCATACTTTTCATTACACAGAATTTTCTGGCTTAAGACAGTTTGAAACTCCCAAAAAGTAGTATAAATCCTTATGTACTGCCATTAGTAATATTTTGGGTGCTCCAGAAGTATGTACACCAAGATGACGCACAACCTGAACCCTAACCGGTACACACATAGTATGTTCAGGTTGTGCGCCATCTTGGTACACATACTTCTGGAGCTCCTTATTTTTAAACAAATCTCCAGGGCGAATGAAAGTAGAATACATAAATAAAACTATCTTTAGTCACCTCATGGTACAAAAAGTCTGTGAACAGAATAATCTTTGAATCATTGGTCTGAATTTAACTCAATACTTTTCTTGTTAGGGGCATTGTTCACAGCAAAACGAAAATTTCATAAATGTATTTAGAATCAGAATTATATTAGTTAATTGACGGTATATATTCCAATAAATGAAAAAAATTTCATTACTCCTGGATTGGAATTTTAGTGTACAGTCATATTTAGTTTGTGTATTTTCTTAAAAATTACTGTGGCACATATGTCAATAAGCTATATGTTGTATTTCTTACAAAAGCTTAGACAATAAGGAGACAGGCTTCACTGGCACGAATTTAGACATTTATTGCTTATATTCAAAGTTAAAAAAAAAAACTTGTTTGATGCCATCCAAATTTGGTTTCTCGCGGCTCCCCTCACCCTGAAATGCCTTTTATTTATTTATTGCAATTTGTATATCAAGTGTGCATTTAGTATGGTGAGAAAATAAACTACTGATTACTGATGCATACATGGACAAATTGTGACTCTTATATATGTGTAATATAATAATAACATGAATAATACATGAATGGAATTAATACAGACATCGCCAATAGTTCACCAAGTTTCAAAATTAAACTGGTTAGATTTTTGAATGAAGACTGAATTAATGCTTTGCTTCCTAGTTTTATAATAGTCATAACTAATATTTTTTTGGCCTGAATCAAGCTTGATTCAGTTTATATTCATTCTATCAATATTAAAAGTTTTATTTATTCACAACTCAATACATTTTTATAAAATATAATAGGCCTACATGTTAGTTTTCTTGGAATATGAATAAGAGTTAAGTTCTCAACTGAAACTTCATTTAAACCTTACAAGCTTTCTCATGTGTTAAACGAAAATCTGTATGTGTGTTGGATCTTTTTTGTGAATGTATTTCCTATACAATATTTAAACACAATTCACAAATTTGAGTTTTTTCCACTTTCTCAATGTTTTTGCGGATCTGTGACGAAAATTTTGACGCAAGGTATTTTTCGTATAGGCTGAATATTGTGTTCAGTTTATCGCGCTGTGTATCGTATCTGTGCCCTTTGTTTACTCTTAGTCAATGATTAATTCGTTTTTCTGATACGAAGCCAGTTAGCACTAGATATTGAAGTGCTAAGTAAACAGATGGCACCAGACAGGTGACTAAAAATACTGTTTTTCTTGGAATAGTCATATATTTATTTCCTAGTCCTATTAAGCTGTATTCGAAGATGGTAGAGTTATAATAAATGAAATTGTCTTTGGCCAATTATGGTCAGTATGTAAATCATACCATAATTGTGCAATCCATCAGCATCCCATGTTTGGTCAATCTGTCTGTACATGTTTAAAAGGTTTTTTATTTTATATTATTGCTTTAAAAGTAGCAAAGCATTGTTTTTTAATTTTGGTCGGCACGTAAGAATATTTTGTCGTTAAATTTTGCTGATTTTGGCACGCGAGCCAATCAAAGTTGCCCATCCCTTGATCTAGGATGCCATGTTTGCGATGGACAGGGTATAGGCAAGGTTACCATCTACCTGGAGGTAAAAATGAGCACAGGTGTCGAAAGGTTATTTTCTGCTTGGGGGGGATTTAACAGCGACAGAGTAAAAATGAAAAAAGAAATCATACACGTGTCTCTTCCGAATTACCAATTTTTATTATTAGAAGTCGCTTCGAACACGATTGTATATAGTTTCGAAATCCAAAAAGTTATGAAAAGACACAATTTCACTGCCGCACACCCGCACGCAAACTATAATGCAGAGGTCGGCAACCTCTTGACACTAGCGGGCCAAAATTAAAGGTTACAAATTATGGCTGGCCGCACATAATTTATTAAGAAAAATCAAAACTGAACGGATGGCTGATGAATCACATCATTCACACATTGTGACTGTATTTTTGCATTACTTTTGATACCTTTTCGATATCAGGTGACACTTTGGATGCCAAGCCAAAATTAGAACATTTTCTAAATGGGTATCACTAATCCTGTTCTTCGCACTGAAAATTTCACTTTGGTTCAGCAATTGAAAAGAAAGACGATTTTTTTCATAGCGATTAGAAGAAGAATTATTAATGAAGAACAACAACAACATAATAACGATCAATAGGTCAGTAGGTCCACTCCGTGTCCAATAACCTGCTCCTCAAGCGTGGATTATAAAATTAAATTGAGGTTGAAACTGGCAGCCGCCGTTATGCTGCTGAATTTCAGTAAGGCACCGGATGATTTTACTCCGCTGATCGTGGATTGCCGACCCCTGATCTAAAGTCTTCATACTTTTGTTTCCCGCAATGTTTCTTGTGTTGTGTGATAGTATTGTGGGCATTAATTGCTGTTTTTTCCGTTTTCTCGCTGTTGCAATAACAACTTGCCATTCGACTTTGTATAACACAAGCAAATTCCTTTTTATATTCAAAACGGAACTCATGCCTATGCTTACTGATTGTCTGTATTGTGGTTTGTACCTAAAAACTAGCAGCAACTATTGTAAATGTGTCACACTTTGCGTGGAAACCATTGAACATGTACAGACAGATTGACTATTCGGGAAAATATCAGTCCGACAAATAGATTTGATTACTTTTCTTATTCTATGTCAGTGAGACTTTTGCTGCTGCAATACCGCTGATAGAGATTTTACATTGTGTTTATACTTTGTAACTTTCAGAGAAATACACGAACTACTGATTTCATCTCACATGCTACTCCTATTTAGAGATTTGATAAATTTCATAACTGAGAACAGAGATTCTCAAGAATATGTAGATGAAAACATGGGGAGTAATGCAGTTGCAAAGTTTTTGAGACACGAAATATTTGGCGCTTTCGAAGTATCTCTATATTAGGTTTTGATGCACCTAATTAGCAAATATTTTCTGGTCAGATTTGTAGCAGATTTAGTTAAAGTTTATATCTTACACTGAAGATATTGTCGAAAATATGTATTAGTGAATATTACATTACATGGATATATTATATGAAGCTTTAGCAGATGGTCGATCCACTGGATGTTAATACTCAATGACATTGTAAAGCAAACATGATGTCTTATCAAAGAGTAGTAGCAAAAATCAATGAGAATACTGAACAGTGCACTGACTTCTATGACTTTGCTGAAACTCTTGGAGTTTTTCACAGAAAACTAAATGTGGACGTCACTCCTCAATTAGAAGAAATTGATTTTTATAATGGTGGAAGAATACCTGCATACGATTATGTACCAGAGTCATCTGAGTTCCAAGAATATTTGCAGGAGGAGAGAGAAAGTGGGATTAGAAAAGAGATTCAACTTGATGAATTGTTTGACAACTTCAAACAAGGTCATGTTTGTTTCGTGGGACCGGCTGGATCAGGGAAATCCACTCTCATGAAAGCCACATCAAGAAATGCCGTGCGGGGAAAATATTTCCAAGAAATTAAGATGGTTCCATATATAGAATGCAAACAATATATGAGCAACCGGAAAGTAACAGCAAGTGAACTAATTTTCAACAATCTCACAAAAGAAGAAAGAGGTCAAGCAATTGACATTGCAAAAACTCACCCAGAAGAAGTGTTGTTTATGCTCGACTCCTTGGATACTCTCAATATACAGTTGATGAGTTTATGAAGTCATCAATCTAGATGAGCCTGCATATCCTGAAGTAATAATGTGGAATTTTCTATCTGGAAAATTATTTCCTGGGTGTCGCATTATATCGTCCAGTCGTGAACATTCCATCAGAAATTTTTGGGGAGAAGTTCGACCAGACAAGGTTATTGCACTTGCTGGAATAACAATGGAGTCCATCAAAGAAATCATTTCTGGATATGAAGGAGATGAAGAAGCCGAGAAAATAATGGAATTTCTCAAAATCAAAGCCCCATTACTCTTGTTTCTGTGCACTACACCTGTGATGCTTGTTTACACACTGATAGCGTTGAAATTCAAATCCGACTTCAAACCAAACACTATGACTGGTATTATGATTGTTGTCATGCAAAGTATCTTACGATCTCCCCACACTTACCAAGAGAATATTTTGGAAGCTTTGGGCAAATTAAAAGAACTATCATACATTGGGACAGTGAAACGTCAAGTTTTATTTACAGAAGATGATTTTCGTCAAGTTAATTTAAAACCAGTAGAAGCAACCGATCTAGCAATCCTGGCTCCTGGAGGAATATATCGTAAACTTTTTCAAGGAATTCACCTTCTTTACTTCCAACATCAAAGCATTCAAGAAATGCTCACATCTTTTTATATTCTTGGACTGGATTTAAAATCTTTCAAGAAGTTCGTAGATAAACATCTTCATACCGGCCACTTTGTTCTCATCAGAAAAATAATGTGTGGACTTTTATTAAATTCCACAATTTATGAAGCAGCAGGAATTTTACTTGGAGGTATGTTGATGTTTTATGTGTAACATACTGGTTGTAACAAATTCAAACTTGGAGCTGTTTTTTTTCTTTCTAGAATCAAATCTGAAAAACGTTATATGTTTTTACTGCATTGGATATTCACTCATGTGGCTCATATGTTTGTTATTTCATGAACCAAAGCCATGAATATTCGTCATATAAAAAATTGATTCATTAATAGGCCTACTGTAATTCTTGTCCATAGAGTTGGAATTTACATATTTAACTTGGGGGAGAGGAAGGAATAAGACTGCTTTACCAAATGGCGAACCACGACTTCTCGTTCGGTTACCATTACATGTCGGGTATGGGATTAGGTATTTATTTTTTTCGGAAGCATGGACTGAATGGTGGAGAGCGGTTATGTGAACCACCCAACAGCGGCGAGGAGTCCAGCAATCCAGCAAGCTTATTTAATGTTGTATAATTAGATAATATGTATTTTTTTTATTGATAAAAACATCACTTTTTAAATAAACAATAACACATAAATACAAACGAGTTCATAATAATTTTCCACTCCTAACGTGGTCTGGCAGTTTACTTTTTTAGTTGCAATAACTTTTATCAGGAAATAATATCCTGATTATATATGGAAATTGACAAAATTGAGGCCCTCCATCACGAAGTGTTCATTTGTACTATAATATCTCGCACTAAATAAAACACAGTTTATACCTGAGTTTTGCCCTACCCCTCTTAAAAATTTCTCTATGTGTCATCACTAGATTTATTTTTATATTTTCACAGAAATAAAGGATCTCAAGAAAAAGCAAAATATTCTTAAGAGAAGCTTGCAATTCCAACTCCAAAAAATATCAAACGAATCAGATCGTTTGGAACTTTTCACTGCATTGAACGAAGCCAAGGATGGAATGAGTGACATTGTCAAATCATCTTTTGACAAAATTGACATGTCTAGATATCCTCTCTCCATAAGTGATGCTCATGTCATTGGATCAGTAGCTTCCTACTGTACATTACTAACAATGAATTTTATTGAATGTGACCTCAAGTCAGCCTCACTTCAAACTCTGGCATCTGGATTGAAAGGATCAAACTTGAAGGTTAGTAGCTGGTGTGAATAGGAATAACATACTATCTCGTTCATGCACCCTTGTGGCAACTGACACATTTGGATCCGCAATAGAAGGTTAACAAGGAGAAAGGACTTGCAGTTCAGCACACAATAACCCAGTACACCCCATACTAACTGGTGTAATTTGGTAAAAAATATGTTTTACTTTTTCTAAAGATAGTTAGGTGAAGACTCACTGACTATAAAATATCTGCAAAACACCATTTAGACGACTGTGATACTTTATTCTTTAAAATGTCTTTTTGTTTATTGACTTTAAATAAGGGTTTGGGCGAGCAGCAAGTGATAATTAGATAAATACTATTACATAATGAAATTTTACTAGGTGCCACTATATTACATTAAATTATATTTCATACCCTATATACTCGCATATATGTCGAGTTTGAAACTGGAAAATAAGTTGCCACCAGGGGGTCGGCTTATATGCGCATAACTCTGATCGCGCTTGAACTAAATGAGATTTCACAAATTAATACCGCAAACTTAAGCTAAATGATATTATCTACAACGACGCTATGCTAGCAAATAACATACATGCTAAATACTAAATAATATTTAATACGATTTGTAGAGTCGGCATATATGCGAATTTTTATAAATTCATTATTTTTAAGCCGTTTTAGAGGTGTCGGCTTATGTGTGAGAACGGCTTGTATTTGAGGAAATACTTTTAGTTTAAAAGTTCTCACTGAAATGTTACACACGAATTGATGTGGTTAAACTGGGTTTGAATCTGAAATCTTTTGCTTGTTACAAATATTATTGATACAAATAAATTTATTTAGTAGAATCTTACTGATTGCATGGTATGTGCAAAACACCATTCAGCAGAATTTTTAATATTAATTTCTTCGTGTCAAGTTCTCTTACCTCTACTTTTGACAAGACTTTATACAAGTGGCAACTGATATTTATTGAACTGCTACAATATAACACAATTTTGCTCTTTGTTACTGCATATATTATATTATCTGTCAAGATCTTTTCTGTTCCTGTTTTCACTGATGATGCCAATGCATGTTCTGTTGCTTATTTTGTTATTTCAATATAACTTTGAAATATTTTATCTTTTTTTTCCAAGATTTTTAGTTTTGTTATTTATTTTATATTAACTGAACTAGGAGTGTCTTTTTGTTTTTTTTTCAAAATAATTTTTACAAACAATTTTCCAACAATCTTGTTATGATCTAAAATTTTTTGTGTTTTAATACAGATCATGAAGTTGCGGCTGGATAGAAACAAAAACATGGGAGTTGAAGGTTTATCATCAGTTGGACAAATACTTTCCAATCAATCCTGTGTTGAAGAGTTGAACCTTAGCTACTGTAACCTGTCATCAGATCAACTACAAGCTTTCAAATTATCGTTGGGAAATAACACAGAGGTGCGGCACAATGATCTACTTATAGTAACTTTTCCTTGAGCTCTATTATATATCAATATCTGTAATGTATTGTTACTTGTTTTCCATTGAGTAAATATTTTGGAAAGTTAACAGAAATTAATGATCCCTAGAGATAAATTTCAATGTTTCGCTGATTGGTTGATTTTATTAGAAAAGGGAACATCAATCTACCGGGGCATAGTTGAGTTAAAAAAAGGAGTTTTTGTGGGAAATCTTAGAAATATTGTAACAGTTAGGTTTTTGTTGTTGAATTTTACAAGTTCATTCTAGCATTACATTCATTGAAGATTGCTGGACTCACACACTTGGTGAATGGCGCAGCGGCATGCTAAGCAATAAGATGCCCGCCACCGCACCTCTAATTACTCTGCGTGGGTTCGCAGGTTCGAATCCTATGCGGGGATGGTCATGTGCGAGAGGATTGCTGGACTCCTCGCCATCGTAGGGTGGTTCAGGCTTCCTCCACCATCAAGTCCATGCTTCCGAAAACAAATATCAAACTAGTGACATACCTGTCATGGAATGATAACCGGACGACATGTCGTGGTTCGCCATATGGTTAAGCCGATTGACTTTCCTTTCCCTCTGGATAAATATGTAAAATCCTATCCTAATCACTTAGATCAGGGGTGTGCAACCTTTTTTACAGGAGGGCCAAATACAATCAACTGGGTGAAGCCGCGGGCCGCACATAGAAACTCTACCTACGAAAGGCTCTGGAACTGAATACAAAAAATCCACTCCACGAAAATTCTTCTAAAAATATTGCTTCGGCTAAATACGAAAGGCCGAAAACATAAAAAACGCGTGTATTGATATTTGTTTATTTAAGGTTAATTTAGTGCAGTGTTTGAAGAAGGGATTTCCAATTCGAATATCGCGACCTTCAAATATCATTTTTCGTGTTTGGTGCACTTATCCTAGCGCCGCCGACCACGTTTTGATTCAAAACATTTTACAATTTTTCCATTTCCATGCGACAATAAAGTATGTGCCATCCCATTGGCCCGTTTTTTTCCCGCGGGTACGTACAAGGTGTTGGTCTAGCGAAATTCAGTGAGAAGACGGTGATACGCGTAACAGTTAGAACAAAATAAAATAAAATAAAAAACTTTGAATTTTATGTGTGTGTGCTCGTTTTCGTACATTACGTTCTCTCTCAGCTGTCAACTTTTGCCGCCTCCTCCGCAGTTCACTCACTCTACGTGGTTTTTGTTTAGCCTAGCCTAGTTGGCCATCTTTTCTATTTATTATGCAGTAATCTAATTCTAACATGTATTTGTTACGCGTTTTACTAATTATTATAATTCATACAAATATTATGTCCTAATTTTGTGGGGGCTTAAAACGGATTAGGGCATTTACAGATAAATTGCGTCTCTACTAACGGATTTTTTTTTTAACTAAAAGTGGCTTTCGTAGGTAGAGTTTTTACTGTAGTTGCCATCAGCAGAAAAAATTGTTCCTTTTTGTTATTGATCTTACGGCATTGTTGGGATCTTTGTTGAGGTCGAAAGCATAAATTTCTAAAAAAAACTGCTATTAAAATTTATTGTCACACCAATTTTAAACGAATTCCGTGAAAAACACGTTTTTATAACATTGTGTATTTTGCAAGTTAGTTTTGTTAATATGACAATGGCATTCAGGTACTGGTATAACATTTGCGACGCAAAGAGATTGGAATTGCTCGCACATTGCAGATGAACTAAACCAAAAGCTGGTTTCGCGTGCACACCATTCAAAATTAACACTTCTCCACGTGCCGCACCATTTTTATTTGCGGGCCGCAGTTTGCACACCCCTGACTTAGATGAAAAAAGTTTTTGAAAAATGACCCTTCTGAGAATGACCTTAATATTTTTGGTTTAGCATTGACTATCAAATTTGTTGCACACTGGGTAATGTGTCGTGGAACAGAGGTTTGAGTTCGAGCTATAAAATATTGGAACTGTGGTTCAAGCATGATTGACATTTCAAGTAATTTAGTTCTTGACTCCAGTTATTTTATATCCGTCGATTTAGATTTTCAAAATGGAACTATAATGTTAAATTGATCTCCAACCAAAATATTGGAGAAAAAATATCTGTCCATGTAACAGTGCCGTCTTGTTTCCACCTCTGATGCTAATGCATGATCAGTCATGAATTTGGTATTTTTGTTAAACTTTAACATATTTTATTCTTTTTGTCCAAGCTTTGGTATTTCATTATTTACACTTATCTTGAGTGGCTTATCCTTTTTCTAATCCATTTTTTCAATCTTACCAAAAAGATTTAGAACAGCCTAATTATGATCTCACGATAAATCATTCTTGTTTCATTAGGTCATAAACTTGCAGCTGTATCATAACATAAACATGGGAGTTGAAGGTTTATCATCAGTTGGACAAATACTTTCCAATCAATCCTGTGTTGAAGAGGTAAACCTTGGCTACTGTAACCTGTCATCAGATCAACTACAAACCTTCAAATTATCGTTGGGAAATAACACAGAGGTACAACACAATGATGTCCTTATAGTAACTTTTTTTGAGTTTCATTGTCGGTACTACAGAAGTATGTGAACCAAGATGGCGAGCACTGGAACGTAGTGTGTGTACCAGTTTAGGCCATAATTCCAGGTACAAATATCACTTGGCCAGTCCCCGAACTTGTAAGAGAAATAAAGTAAGGAAAATTGAAATAAACTATGGCCTGGTACAAATACTAGAGCTAAGATCTGAAGCTTGAGCCCTTTGGGTCGGGCCTGAAATGTTAATCATCACGTTCGGGTCGAGTCAGGCCGGGCTTCTCTGTTGCTGATTTTTTTTAAATAAATATCTGTTTATAAAAAATATATACTAAAACTATGTGTGGATACTAAACTAAGGAATACTTGTTATAAAATAAATAATTTGGATAAATAACTTGATAATACTTCACCAAAAAATAAACACTTCCCATCACATTCAAATTTGCTGTGAGCCTTGGATGAGAAACATTTTAATAAATAATAAAATTTGATTTTAACAAGAAAACCAAAGGTTTTGATGAATTTGCTTTTTTTTTCGAGCAAGGTCAAAAGATTTTGTTATTTTGAATGAACTAGGAATGACTTTAAATATAGCCACCTGTTACTATTATGTCCCACAAACTCTCTACTGGAACGTGAGAAAAATAATTTTTATTTTTTCAAAACAATTGTGATGGATAACTAATTTCCTATGCAAGAATTTAATAAATCATGTCTGCAGGCAAAACACTGAAATAAACGTTTGACCATGTTTATTCAAATGGGATACACGAGAAGCTGATCATTGTAAACTGCCTAGCACAGTCAATAAAGCAGAACTACCGGTATCTTCACAGTATTTTTCAATTCCGTATAACAGGGTTTGCCCACACGTCGATCACGATCAAAATATTTTTACACTTTGCTCAACAAAATTATTTCACATCAATCTAATTATTATCTAAAATTGTTCTTGTTAATTATAGATCACACAGTTGCGACTGAATAGAAACAAAAACATGGGAGTTGAAGGTTTATCATCAGTTGGACAAATACTTTCCAATCAAACCTGCGTTGAAGAGTTGGACCTTATCTACTGTAACCTGTCATCGAATCAACTGCAAGCCTTCAATTCATCCTTAGGAAGCACAAAGGTATAACTAGATAGCGATTGCTAATTAATTGATAGCTCGCTAATTATACGACATAATTCATCCAAGATCAATGGGCTTCTGGTCTGCGATATGAATAATGCACATGCAAAATTTGAAGCAAATTCAACCTAGCTTTCGTGAAATATCGTGTAACATACGAAAGTGTGTAACAGACAAACAAAAAAACAAACAAATACCTATCAACATACTTATCGATTGAGATTGATAAGTAAGTAACAAGGTTTTATTGAATATGCAAAGAATATTTAAATTGGTTTTCAGTATGCTACATTTTACACTTTCGTAGCCCAAAATTGGAATTGCTTGGTGAATTTTTTGGCAAACTTTTACAATCTTACATTTATCATCTTTAATAATAGATTTCACCCGTTTGCACAAAATTTTGTTTAAAATATTTGATGATAAAATTTGTGTGTTATGAGTATTAAAGCCTCGAACATCGATATTATGTTGGTAAACTGTATTTTTACAAATTCCCCCATCTCACATGTATTCAAGTGCGATAATGGGTGAGCAGGCACCTAATATAATCGAAGGAGTGAATCTGGCTTCAACTAAAATTTTTGATTGAAAATATAGGAGTATTAAGACCAATCATTATGAAGTACTTGAAATAAATTTTGCTCTGTGTTCATCAAGATAGACAATAAACACTATTCCAGACATTGTAAATTACAGCAAGTGTGTGTGCCTCGGCACTCGTTGTGCTCAGTCAGAAATTACCGAATATTATATTCACTTGAGTTGACCAATTCAATTAGCCAAATTGTGAGAATGATTTCAACTTTTCCATTTCAATAATTTATTTTAATAAGTAAATTTTGTTGTTGTAAAAGTATGTACTCTTTGAGACACTAACATTGGAAGTCAGTGTTGTATGAACAACCCAAATTTGAAGAATGTGCGAGATCGCTAAATTGAAATCAAGTTTGATAATCAAGACTGTAATTTGTAGTGTTTGTTTACTGCCCAAAACTTGAGGACACTATAATTCCAATGAATTTCAAAAATTACAATTTACATATTTTTTCTTAAAATAAATAATATGGATTGGACAAACTATGACGTATATGACTGTTATGTATTTTATCCATCTCCTATTGTTATTGTATTTGTTTAATTCAACAGATTGATTGGTTGGGTCTGGATGAAGATCGTACTGCAAACCATGAAGATATTGTTGCAGTTGCAAATCTGCTTCCTAATGTTAATGAGATGTTAGGTTTGCAAGGATGGAAAATAGCTGATGAAGATAAAGAACTATTACAGAATCAACTTGATGAAATCGGATCTGAGGTTTAAAAAATTTTCTCGGATACACAAAATATGGGGCATATAAAATCAATAACCTTGTAGAAACAAACTACGATATATCCTCGCTTATAAGTCGAGTTTGAAACTCTGAAAAAAAAAAGTTGTCAAATTAAGGGGTCCGCTTATATGCGCATAATTCTGATTGAACTAAAAATTCGGCTATACGTGCATACCTCTAATCGCACTTGAATGAAATGACATTTCATAAATTAATATCGCAAACTTAAACTGAACGATATTATCATTAACAACACAAGTCTAACACTAAAATCCACGATAAATACTAAATAATGTTTAAGAGCTATTTAAGTCACTATTAATTGCTGGAAATGCAAAATATATATCTGTATTAAATGAAATGATTGCTGGCCTGCTCACCGCCAGAGGGTGGTTCACGTAACTGCTGGTAGGTTACGGCCTCCTGCACCATCAAGTCCATGCTTACAAAACGAAATACCTGGCTAACTAATTCCTTAACCAACATGGGCTGGTAACTGGATGAGAAGACGTGGTTTGCCATATGATTAAGTCGTCTTATCGACTTTCCTCTCCCCTGAGTGAATATGTAAATCATATCTTTAAATTTATATAAAACATTTCATGATTTACAGGAACTAAAAATTAGGCTGTCTGGAAGAACACTCAAGAATCAAAGGCGATCAGATGATGCTACAACTGATGTCATTTTTGAACGAACCATAACTTCTGAAGTCGACTTTGGTAAGTTAGTGATTTTTTATTATATAGTACAATAATGAATGAGTAGCAATCAATGCTGAATTAGTTTTGTTGGCACTCCAGAAATGTGTGAACCAATATGGAGGTAACTAATTTTGTTCGCCTATTTTACATCGAGTTGTGTAAAGGGACTGAAACCTATGGGCAGGGGGTATATTCACTTGGCTAACACAGACAGTGTCCTATCTCGTAATAGAACTAAAATAAAAAAAATCGAAATAAAATTACGACCTAAACCTAACCTGTTGCACATACGTCAGAAGTATAGTATTGTATGACTCATTTCATCGTCATTTACTGATACCTCATTTTTGATATTTACTTATTTTCCTTTTTAAGGGCCCACATCACCACATGGCAGTTTGGAGAATACTGAAGAAAATGCAGAAACTTTAAGAGAAGATAGAAACCCAAGGTTAGATACAGCAGTTGTGTGACATGTGGGCGCTTCTGTAGGCTGTGCACCAAGCACAACCTGTCGCACAACCTGAATCCTAACCCAGTACACATACTATGTTCATACATACTATACCGACTTGGAATGGTAACCTTAGAGAGGCCATATGGTCGCCATATGGTCCACCACGATAAATATTAAAATCCTAACCGAAATTTATAAATAACAAAACTAACTTCATACAATGTAATGCGGCTAAAAAAGGAAGAAAACATAATTTTAAACTGTTATTTTTTTCAGAAGTGAACTCCTGCTGACTGAAGAAGAAGTAACTGAGCAAGCTGCGAAGCCAACTCAGCATAGTAAGTCAGCCGTATTGATATAATCGGGCAGTAGTATGAGTAACATAGGGATCAGCTTCGAATTAATGATTTTTTTTGTTAAAAAAGCTTGTAATTATAATACAACACTAAATCACCAATGGTTTCATCGAATAAAAGAAAGTTGTTTGATTAAAATGTAAATTTTTACTCAAATTTGGATTTTTTTCGCCAAATTTTGTCCTGACATAATTTTTCAATGTGGAATATCACACAAAATAGTCGACACTCATCAGAAATTAAACAATTTTTATTAATGACGCATTGAAATATTCGATGAGACGAGAACAGCATATTCGAGACCTTTTTGACCAGGTCACACAATCACATAAATTGTTTTGTTCAATAAAATTAGGAGGTCTGGACTGCAACTACCTATCATGTATATAGTTTTGCTCTTGTGGATCTGTTTGCAAATAATGCAAGCAATAATGCAAAATTGCAATGTTTTTACCGTTATTAACTGACAGAGGTCACATTTCATTGGTTAAGCTTACGATCCTTGACTTATTCTCTCTGTCCCTCAAACAGCAATAACTAATAATTATTGCTGTTTGATTAGGCCATATTTTGTTTTTATCTGAAGAAGTTAGGTAGACTATGATCTAACGGAAGCTCATAAATGAACTTACTATTTCGTGGAAAGAGATTATTTTATTCATATTTATCTTTATAATACTATTTCGTTCAAGTATCCTTGTAGCAAATGACACATACGGATCCGCAATAGAAAGTAAACAAGGTGAAAGGACTTGCAGTTCAGTACACAAACCCTAAAACACCCATGATTAAAAGTAGTCAAACAATTATTCGCTATATTATTGAAATTTCGAGAACAGCATTATGTAGCTCATAACAGTAATTTAGACTACAATGTTGTTGGGCAGTCATGTATAATTTCACTTTAAAACAAATAGAAAATACATGTAAACTCTTCTGTCATTTCAGTCAATGTCTATCGCTTTACCCGTCGTCTGGATTATATTATCCCGAAAAGGTGTCGATAATAAATTTAAAGCTAAATTTTTCATTTTTTACAAATTTCCATTTTTTATGCAACACATTCATGTCATGTAAAGCAAACCGCTGGTATAACTGGACATTATTCACCAAATGATCTCCAAAAAAATTGTACTGAATAAATATTTAAAATGCGTGGCGATGTGGCGGTTAGGAATACACTCGGCATTGCACCTCTAATTACTCTGTGTGGTTTCGCAGGTTCGTGTGTCAAAATATAATGTTCTGATGAAAAACGGTAATAGAGAGAAACTTAAGTCACTACACCTGCCACAGAAAACTCGTTTCTCCGCTTTTGGCAGCCATGTTTTAAATTGTCAGTTAGTTAATTGTAACAAACTAACTCACTACTTTTTCTTTTAGCTTTGCCACAAATTGAAAATGTTTTCTCTCAAAGAAGCGGATCCGACATTCTTTTGACTTGGGATGAAGTATCTGACAGCAACATCCTATACAACGTAGATATCTTCTGTGATGATGTGAAACTTAGAGAGACTCACACTACAGAGATTCCACAGTATAGAATGAAGTCACCTACACTTGGTAAAACATACCGTTTCCAAGTCTGGGCCAAGGATGAATGGGGTAACATTGGATACAAGACACAGTCAAAGAATGTTATAAAAGGTATATTTCCGGGATTATGTGGATTTTTTTTTGTGGTGGACTTCTCTGATTAACACATCTACATAAAAACAATCACTGGCAGTATGAATCGTATTGCAGCGTCGATAGACTGCCTAACTCATTGTAACAATTTATTCCAGTTTTGCCATGGGGGACTATATCTTGACTAGAAATAATTTATTCATGATTGTTTGTTGTGATTTGTTTTCTTTCGTCTTCGGTGCGTGAACGTGTCCATTACCGTACGGTATAAACATATTTTCAGGTTTTGTTCACTTTCCAGATTCTTCGCCTTCCTCTTTTTTGTGTATTGTTTTATTTTTTGCGAATGAATCAAAATAAAATCTTATCTTGATCGACTACAACAGGGGACACCAAACTACGGCCCGCGGGCCGGATCCGGCCCGCGTCGTCATTTTATCCAGCCCGCAATAACAAGCAAAAATGGCCAAATATTTTCCCAAGAAATATTTTCTCGAGCATCGTCTTCCTTGTTTATTTCGTAACATTGGCCAATCAGCAAGATGCAAAAAAAGACGTAATAATGGGCCTTCTCACATTTTCAATGCTATTCGTTAGTTTCTGGTTGTGTTTGGGAAATTTTGCGCTAGCACTACTGTAATCCCTCGTGTACTGCTCCAATCTCACAAGTCACACTAATTTTTGTACTGCTTAAATGCAGATATTCATGTAGGTAAGTTACAAAAAAAATAAAGTTCATCCGATCTGAATAAAAACTGCGCCAGTGGATAGATCTGAGTGAAAATAAGAAAACAATAATAAATATATACAATAATAAATAGAAAACAATTTTATTCTGGCAACTGTCTTGACACCGCCGAAAGGTCGTCGCAAATAAACGCTGGAATTGTGCATGTTAGTTTGACAGTGGTTCATTGTGGGTAATAATTAACGATGTTCTGATTGTACAAACTTCATAAAAATTGGTAAGTATCAAGTTAGGAAAGAAATACACACGTCCACATAAATTGTATTGGTGACCATAGCTAATATCATTAATTTGCACCACGTATAACTTGAGCGTAATTTTAAAAGCTCCGGATGTTGGGAAATTTTTGCGCTAATGAATAAAAATCAAATACCAGATAATAGTTGTTTATTTTATTTAAATTATGTCAAAATTCCATGGAATTCTACGCTACAGCAGGCAGTCCGTAGTCGTGCAACGTTTTGATAACAGCTAAACTCAAGATTGTCGTCTATATATAGAAATCTTGTATATTTGTTTTCCTAGGATGTTCTCGATCTATATTCTGCGATATATATAGAATTTAATATTCTAGTCTTCAGAAATGTAGAATATATATTGTTGAATTAATTGAATGGATTTCCCAATTTTTGTGAATTTATTGTATTGCATTGACAAAAATATTTGTCCGGCCCGTTTCAACACAGTTTGAGTCATGTCCGGCCCGCGGTCAAAAAAGTTTGGTGACCCCTGGACTACAACATGATATTGAAATATCAGCAAAACCAATAAGTAATTGCAGTATGCACTAAATTTCTATTAGTGGGATTTCCAGCAATCAATCTATATTCTCCAGGAGTATGTGCACCAAGATGGCACAACCTGAACATAGTATGTGTACCGGGTTAGGGTTCATGTTGTACAATGACTTGATGCACATACTACAGGAGTGCCCTATATTCTATAGCAAAGCTGGCCAACATGTTGATTGCCACGTCCAGAGTAGTCGATCTAGTCTGATATTGGGTGAATTCAATAACATACCACAAAAATATAATATACACAAACAGTATTTGTGGCTGGGCAAGCTCTATAGAGCATATTTCTACGCCACAAAAGCAAGATTTGTCTCCGTCAAAGGTTGAAAATGAGACACGGAATATTGTGTGTCTTGCTGACAAATGATGCAACAATAGCTTCTGCAGTATGCAAAAATTCTTGTCTCATTTTGAAAGTAGTGTGATGAATTTTATTCGCAAGTGGCATCAGAATGTCCAATTTTGAGCGAAAAAGAATTATTTTTGAAGGAAATTGTAACTCAAATACTGAAGTTTGAGCAGTCGTTTTTTTTCTTTATGATTAACAGTAAAAATCAAACTGTTTTTCAGCCAAAAACATTGGAGTTGAAGGGGATACAATAGACATTAATGAATGCAAAGTTACTTTTCCGGATGGAACATTCATTGAACAAACAAAAGTCTGGATGTCAGTTCGATTGGACAATTCAATATGCCCAGCACAATACGTCGCGATCACACCAGTTCTTGACATCAGTGCAGGATCGCCATTACGCAAAAATGCAATTGTACAAATGGAGTCCTGGCGTCTTCAGCTTAAAAAAGAGGATGTTGACATACTTCACTTTACCAATGACACTGACTGGAACATTATTAAACCCGATCTTGTCTCGTTTGACAGAACTATTGAATTTCGCTGTCAAGAGTTCAGTCGAGTAATTGCCGCTATCAAACGATGGTTTTACGCCCCAGTTCTCAAAGAAAACTTTCTTTATACGATGGGTCACAATCGAATCTGTATAACATTTTTTAGTCTAAGTGAACTTGTTGAAAAAAGCATAATTACATATTACGAAAGCCGGGGTGCACAACCGGTACCAACAAGATTCAACCAAGTTATTTTGAGGCATGGAGATAGAATTCATCTCAAGCTACGAATAGAAGGGGGGCCTGGAGAATTACATTTCAATGAACCTAATGGTCACAGATTTTCTGTAGATGATGACTTCTTAACAGCATCGAGACATGACTTTGAATTTCTCCCCAACTTGCAGCGATATCCTGAAATTGTCATCAAATGTGAAATGGAAAAAAATGAAGATGAAATTAATAGAAAAGTAATTAAATTTACTTTCCCACTAAAACCTCCAGGTGAGTGGGAATGTAATTGTTATTTTGCTCTGAGGGACGCCTCAAGCAAGTCATTTTCATTCCAAATGAAAGATGACTGTCAAATAGTTTTGTGTGTTTGTCAAAATTTAGATTGAACTGAATGTGCATTACATGATTGGCAGTCTCAAAAATCTCATCATTTGAATATGTAAAGTTCATTCCCAGACTTCCGACTTTTTGCATACTGAAGTAGAATAGGATTTATATATTTATTCCGAGGGGAGAGGAAAGGCGATAAGACAGCTTAACCATATGGCGAACCACGGCCTCTTGTTCGGTTATCATTCCATGTCGGGTATGTTATTAGTTGGTTTTTTATTTTTTAAGCATAGACTTGATGGTGTAGGGATGTTTCATGTTAACTGCACATTGTCTTGAGAACCTACTCACCACCAATTTTATTGAAATATATGTAGTCTTTGATACATCACACTTCTATTGATATATATTTGGCATTCCAAAAGTATGTGAATCAAGATGGTGGACAGTACACCGGAACGTGGTATGTGTACCAGGTTATGGTTAGGCCATAATTTTATTCCAATTTCCCTTATTTTAGTTATATTACGAGTCCAAGTGACTCCCGTAGTATTTGTACCTGAAATTATGGCCTAACCTTAACCTGGTACACAAACTACGTTCTGGTGTCCACCATCTTGGTTCACATACTTCGGGGAGTACCATATATTTTTATAAGACCTTATATCTTCAGTTTGATACTAAGCCAAAGACGATCATTGAGATGAATCTTTTCTGCATTAAACATCTTTCTATTCTTATATTTATAGAACGCAGAGGGCCTCCACCTATCAACTTTGCTGGAGCAAATATTGGGAATCTGCATCTACCGGAGAGAGAAAATCAGAATAATCAGCAAATAGTAAGATTTGATTAATATTTCTTCTCAACTTTCTATAAATATTTTCCAAAGTATTTATATGTATGTTTTCAACCACCTATTATAAGATATAATAGACAGTTCCAGGCTCGGTGGTGAGGTGCATTGTGCTCTAAGCGTTATTAATACACTCGGCACCACACCTCTGATTACCCTGTGTAGGTTTGCAGCTTCGAATTCTGTGGGGAATAATTAGGTGAGAGCGGTTTGCTTAACTTCTCTGCACTTTAGGGTGATTCGTGTAACCCCTGGTTGGTTATGGCTTCCTCCATCATCTAGTTCAGGGTGGTCCAAACCCAGGCCCGCGGGCCACATGTGTCGCATTCGGAGAGGAATCAAAAAATCGCATTTTGTGTTGTTTTGTCACTGAATTGACTAGTGTTATGGCTGGCTGAGGCAGCTAGCGAAGTTAGACGAGCGAAGTTCTTGGCACTATTGTGGCATGCGAACAATGCAAAAGTAATTTTGTGGCCCGCGGAGCTGCCAATCTTGGACCACCCTGATCTAGTTCATGCATTTAGAATAACCCAATAATTGGCTAACCCTACATAAAACCAGACGAGAGATTGTGGTTCGCCATATGATTGAGCCGTGTTATTGGCTTTTCTTCTCTCAGAATAAATAGGTTAAACCTATTCTATTTCATGTTGATACTAAGCCCGAAAATGTGTTGTTAGCATACATATCGGAACTTTCCTATACCAGGACACGAGGAACTGTGAAATTTTTATCATGAAACCATATGTAGTATATAATCCCAAAATTTGAATTATATTTGTCTGCACTTTATAGCAGGTAATAAAGATATGCTGGATAGTAATATCAAATTTTTTCAAGGGGCAAAATGAACAAGAAGAAGCTGGTGCAGTAGGTGGAAACCAAGCGATAGAACCACAATAGAATAAATCACTACGACATGAAAATGATGGCGGTACGTAAAATACCATTGAGTAAAATATTCCTCCAGCTTTGCAAACTTCATTTCTTGTCTTTTATATTCCCGAAATAATACTTGGAGTCATATTAGATGAAAAATATAACTCATTTTGTCTACATGATTTATGTTTACTGAGTTTCATTTTCGCTATGTCCACTGTACTATGAGTAATTGCCCTCATTTTTGAACGTGGTCTTTACATATATGTGGACGAGCAACTACCCCTGAAATATTATTATGTTCGCAAAAATTCAACTGGGTTTTGACACAAGTTCATTTGTAATAAACAAGACGCAAGATTTTTGATTGTTGTTCATCTTATGCCTTATTCAAACATTACATAGAAAAATGTTGTTACATTTCGTATTTGGTATATTACGTATTTAAACCTAGTTAAATTATTTGATGTTTTTCTGACGTCATCTGCTGCTGATCTCAGCATTCATGGTGTCGCTGACATGATGACTTGATAGTCTTTCACGGTCCTTGTCAATTGCAGTCGAAACATTCTATGTCTGTTTTTTTTTTTATATTTTGACTTGATTTACTATTGTTTGTGTTTACAATGTTTCATGCACAACGAAAATAAATTATCTGAATCTCTACTGAGGAGAATTTTTAGTGTCATATTAATAAACAATTTTTTTTTTCAGATTCCAGTTAAAAACTAAGAAAATAGATGAAAAGTTTCCCAGACTGAACACAATCTAAAGACATTTCTAGGATACAAATGTTGCTTCGAAATGCACATGGTGTTCCTGTCGTATATTCAACATTACCATCGTTAACATTACTGCTGTTATATTCAACATTAAATTTCACCCGCAATCTCAGACTATATGCTGAATGATCTTGCGGTTCATACTTTTATCTCGCAACATATTATGGACATGTATATGTAGTGAAGGGATTAAATATTTGAAATATTAACTCTTAAAGACTAGATAGTCAAATTGTTCAGTCATAGTAGAATTTAGGCAAAAATGTTATAATTTATTCGTGTGAAATGCTGACTTTGCAAAGGCTTGGATTGTGGAAACATAGACAGGCCGATTTTCTCAAATTGGGCCCGCATCTGAAACGGAGGGCTTTTTTCTGTATTATTAAAAATATTACAAAAAAATCAAAGTTCATCCGATTTGAAGTAAAACTGTACTAGTGGTTACATCTGAGTGACAGTAAGAAAACAATACCAAGTTTGCGCAAACGGTCAAAAAATAACGGAGATTTTGGCATTTTAGTACCGCCCGAGAGGCCATTTTTTCTTCATAAGCAAAACAAATAAAATTTCAAAATTATTAACCCTTCAGTAACTCTTGTTAAATAGCCGTTGTTCAAATTTTTATTAATCTTTTGTTGTGAAATGCATTACCTTTTGCTTGTATGTCTTTCTATTGATATCTACTATTCTGTCTATTTCTCAGAACAGTGCTCTTCAACAGGGGTTCCGCGAAACCCTAGGATTCCGTAATACATGCAATGGGGGTTCCGTGAGTTTATGGGGTTCCGCGTTTTTTTGTTTTTTCAGGGGAAATCATTTCTTGCTTTCAGCATGTTGATGCGTCATTATAAATATTCTTAGACCACCGTGTCGCATTCAAACTCCAAGTAGGCCAGTTCATTGAACAGAAGGTTTAGTGACAGTGCAGTTAATAGACAAAACAGAAATATTTTCGGTTGTTGCGTCACTTTAGTCATTGTTATGCAACTAACAAGAACAAGCTATTGTTGCACCATAGTGACATGATGTTCAAAGTATGTAGAATTTAGAACATCCGTATGAAGTTGAAATACTGCAATTTTTGGTAAACCTATGCTTATTTCGTAACCGTTATAATATCCGTTGGACTAGAGCAGTGCTCTTCAACCTTTTTCTTAGTGATACACCCTTTTAACCATTTCTCAAAATCTGGTACACCCCGGCACCCCGCCCATACCACATTTTTAATACGTGAAAAACTCATTGTTTAGATTTTATATATATGTTCATGCCGACGAAATGGTTTATTATTTAGTTAATGTGAACGTTGCTCTTGGATTTCATCGGGCATTTGTGCAAAGCGAGGTATTAGCTTTGTTTCCAAATGCCCCTGTCAATAGAGCAGTGGTTCTCAACCTTTTACTAACAACGTACCATTTTTGTGATTTTTACTCCGGCCGCGTAACGCCAACAAAACCTCGTTTTCGGAGGCAAAGAACACTGCCAAAAGAAAAGCAGTATGGCAGTCTATTATGGTCTCGTATTCATTTTTAGACTGTCGTTTTTCAATGTGCCGTTTTTCAATGCATTGTGGACGTAAAAGGTAACACGGGCGAAAAATGGATTGATAGCACTATACACTTGTCCAGCGAATACATACAGTATGAAAGATAAATAGAACGCGTTGCTGGCATAATTTAGTCAAATCAAAAGTTAATTGTTGCGATAATTGAAAGCTGCTCGGTTGAGAACCACTACATTCTACTTGAGGCCTGCCCAATGTTTTTAGTGTCGCGGGCCACCTTCACATGAGAAAATTCATTGCGGCCGCGAACGTTTTTACCTATTTTGAACACCAGACAAGTTCTGATTTACGTTGAGCCAACAGAATGCATAAAAAGTAGGTTTAGGATAGGGCTGGGCAAAATATTCGAATATCGTGTCGAATATTAGAGTAACAGTTTACTGTTCTAATGTCTGGTAACACGCCGCTGAATCAAAGGCTTGGGAAGAACAGCGCATTTGAGGATTTCTGACGAACATTCGACATTGTGCACACACTTTTCGCTGACAGACAAAAACGTATAATGTATTTTGATTTATTTGTTTCCAGTGGCTATGATGTTGTTTCGATTCTTACGTGAGCATAATGTGCGCCAATGTCACGTAAATTTCAACAACTTTTCAGTAGGCCGTTCTGTAAATTTCGAAACATTGATACAAGTTTCTAATGAAGTAACATTTCTACGATTTTCGAACGGTATTTATTAATTTAAATATGTAGAAATGTCGAGTTGAGTCAATTTTATCAGAATTTTTAACCGGTGCGCAGTGGCGAGTTTTATTTAACACAAAATGACATAGATACGACAGTGACAAACTAATACAACAAAGCCAGTAGCAAATATATTGTTCACTTTTTGGTTTACGTTGTTGATAAGGAC